AAAAGATGAATTTCCAGTGGAATTAGAAAAATTCCTAAAATTATCTAGAATCTCTACTCTATGATTTGAGAAAGTATTCGCTTAATGTTTTTTTTTTCCCTTAACAGGTATGATGAGTTCAAATTTGGCTGTACCTCTCTGAGAGTACCTCCTGATTTACTTTACCAAATTAGGCATGATATCACAGTGTCCCCCAATGGAATAGCTTTTGTCAAGGTAATACTCTCTTATAAATGAAAGGTGTCAACTGTGGCTTAACCTTTGGAGAGCTAGTGGTTTAGATGTTGTTGGCATATAATACTAAGAAAATAAAATACACATATATCAAGTTTGCTTGAATATCCTATCTCAAAAAGTTAAAAATATAGGGAATTTTCTAAGAAAACATTTTTTAAAAAAGTCACCTCGTTTTGCATGAATTTAGGTTTAAATATTTTTATTGTTAGATTTTAGTTTTTAATAAAATAGTGTAAGAAACAAATGTGTATATATACCTTCTGCCCTCTACTAGAATCTGGCAGACTTAAGCTGATGACCACAAAGATGTTGCTTTATTTTGCATTAATGTGTCTACTTTACTAACTGTTCTATATAATTGAAATTAAATTAAGACCATCTTAGAAATAATGATACTGTAAAATCTTTATTGACTGTATTTTTAAGAAGATATCCAAACTAATAATAGAGTCCCTTTTTTCCCTCCCTTATTACCCTCAAGAGACTAGAAAGCCTCATAAATGAATAAAGACAAATAGGAAGAGATCTAAGAGAAAATTATATTGCCTCTCATATGCCAACTTTATTCCTTTCTATTTCTTTAGCAGTAAGTCTGTACTAGAGTCATGGGACGGTAGGGTGGTTGATGGTAGCATGGACCCCATTAGCCCTCAAATTCATTCTGGTGTACTTAGCAAAAGTAGCATCCTTCTTTACCAGTAAGAGGATGCTGTGTTTAAAGAGTACCCTAAAATTAACCATTTAGATATGAGGAAGATTTTTACCAGAGAGTTTATAATATATTCCTTTCTGAAAAATACCTGTATTTTAACATAATGACATGTATTATATCTTAACAAACATTACAGCTGCTTCAAAAGGTACACAGAATGAATTAGAGGTTAGAATATGTTTTCATTGTCACATACCTAGCAGTTTTATTGTCTCCCTTTAACAGCGTTTTTAAAATTTGCATCTACATTCTGATCCAATGTGTAAAGTTTAATGAAAATTAGATTTTTTAATATTCACAAGTGTAATTATCCTATACCTGAGGTTTAATCATTTAGTCCGACATACATTACCTTGCACGTGTCTGTGAATCATCTTCAAAGTTAATACTGTTTTGTGGTTTTCATTCCTATTGGAGTTCTCATAAATTCTCCCTAGTCTTGATTAATACAAATGATTTTTTTTTGGCATCGACAAATTTTATCACCTCACTATTCATCCCCTCTTCCAGATTGCTAATAAATATAGGCCGGAGGGGATGGCTTAGTGGTCTAAGCATCAGATTTGAAATACCTAGAGTCCCTGGAACTACAGGTTTGAATGTCAGCAGAGTCAACCCAGCTCATCATTCTTCCAAGGTAGATAAATGGAGTTCCATGCAGATTACTGTGTGGGGTCATTAGGATGAGATCTTTAAAAACTAAGGTTTGTTATGAGTGATACAAATCCCATGTGTCTTTCTGAAAGAGTGGGGGTTTGGATCAAAGTTCTGAACAAAATTTCCTCTAAACTTATTGTATGGTCTTTTATTGCACTAGTTGACATCCTCCTCCCTGGAGGTCTCTGAACTCACATAGTAGTGCTACATTAGATTTATAAACATTACAGGAACCTTTTAGGAGAAAAGTCCTCTTCAAAAGAAAGAAAATGTGATGATTTTGTATTGACGACCACTAGTCCTTTGGTCACTCTATTATTAGTATGTTTGAATTCATGACAGTTGGCCATTGTTATACTTTGTGCTTCCTTCTTAATTATCTAAATCCATAATGTTTAAGGGATTTAAAGATTCTTTTTTCCTTTCTGATAGCCATCAGTAAGAAAGGGTGTGCTACCAAGAATGCTCGAAGAAATTTTGAAGACTAGACTCATGGTGAAGCAGTCAATGAAGGCTTACAAGCAGGACAGAGCCCTTTCACGAATGCTCGATGCACGTCAACTAGGACTTAAGCTTATAGCAAATGTCACATTTGGCTATACAGCTGCTAACTTTTCTGGGAGAATGCCATGCATTGAGGTAAGTGATACAAATCGGTAGTTTTTTCAAAAGAGACTAAAGCACATTAAATGAATAGTTCATTGAAGTATTTTATTTTGTTTTGAAACTTTAGACTAAAGAGTTTCATTTCCATGACATAGTATCATTTTTTCTCAAACCAGGGCTTATATACATACATGTTTTAGGGGGTTGTGGGTTTTCTGTATGAGAACTCTTTGTGTCTTTGTTTTAATAATAATTTTAGAAATTGGCATACCCATATTTCTACATATTATGGATGACCATATTGTAACCAAGTATTAGCAGGAGATTCAGTTCCCCCTTTATAGCAGTGTTTACAATAACATTGGTACTAAATAATTCTTTTTAATATATTGATAGAGATCTGATGGTAGGTAGTTCAGTTGGCTTCTCCAAATATCAGCATGGAAAAGTCATTCCATATTTACTAGTATACAAGTAGATATAAAGCACAACCTTTCGTTTGCAATTGAAAGATGTTTTTCATTAAATAAGCCTAATTTATTATTATTTACTAAATTAGGGTGTTATTTTGATATGAAGACAATATAGTATGACAGTAATATAATAATTTACTAGTAACTGTTCAAAGAACAAAGCAGACTTGTTTGATTCATGATCTTTTCATGCCAGAGGAAGGCCAGAGCATTGTAGTATACCATATTTGTAGTAGTTCATTAAGGGAAAGGCAGTGGAAGAATAAAGTCCCCCTACAGTGGACAAAGTAGACTCCAAAAACCTGGGCAAGGGACTTTCCATATGTAAGAAACTCAAAGTTGCCACTCTGTCCTCATAACAAGTAAGTTGAACAAACTGAAAAATCAACAACTCTTCTTAGATCTGTCAGAGAAGTGTGGTCCCAGGATAAACTGCTGCCCCCAAAACTGAAGAGACCAACAGGTGATAGAGAGACTCACAACTTACCAGAGCAGAAACCTAGAAGCACAAATCTCTGCAAGAACCAGTGCCATGGTAGGGAAAACTGAACCATATTTGATGAATTGCTGGAGGCTCAGGGTGTACAAATCTGTGAGGTTAAAAACTCCAAGGGACCCAGTCATCAGGGCCCCCACACTATTGTTAAATTTCACCTCTGAGAGTTCAACTAGGTTCTCACAGTGAATATCAGAGAAAAATTCCCTTTTGCTTCTGCCACAGGAAGGGTAAAGAAGCCTTTTTTTTTTTTTAAATCTGTTGTTAACTAAGTCTGCCCTCAATAGAAACTATTTAACCAGAGCTTAAGCTGCTGGAGTTTTACCATAGCCTAACTGACTTCAGGAAGGGGAAATACCCAACTCCAACTGCTCTAGCCTTCCACATGGAGGAAGAAAAACACTCCAGCCCTCTCTAGCCATCCTTTCCCACCAAAGGGGAAAACCTGAGAAGCGCATGTGACGTCCACGGTCCAGAGGTACAGGCTAACTGAAAGACTGAGACCTAGTCATAGGACGGTAGAACACTTCCTCATCCCTACACCTTACCACCACACTGCTAAAAGCCTATTTACAGCAATTCCTTTTACCCAATACATCATGTCTGGCTATCAAAAAAAAAATTACAAGACATACTAAAGCCAAAAAACACAGTTTGAAGAGACAGAGAGAACATCAGAACCAGACTTAGATATGGCAGGGATATTGAAATTATCAGACTAGGATTTTAAAACAATTGTGATTAGGATGCTAAGGGTTCTCATGGCTGAAGTAGATAGCATGCAAGAACAGATGGGCAATGTAAGCAGAGAAGTGGAAATTCTAGCAAAGAACCAAAAAGAAATGCTAGAAATCAAAAAACACAAAAATGAAGAATGCCTTTGATGGACTTACTTGTAGATGAAACATGGCTGAGAAGAGAATCTCTGATCTTGAGGAAATCTTAATAGAAACTGCCAAACCTGAAAAGCAAAGAGAAAAAAGATTTAAAAATAGAAAAGAATATCCTAAAACTATGGGACAACTACAGAAAGTAATAGGAATTCCAGAAACTTATAGACGACAAATAATGATATGAAAAGATCTCTATATGTCATCAGAGAAGTGCAAATTAAAATGAAATACCACAAAACGCCTTTTAGAATGGCCAAAATTCAAAATATGGAAGCCACGTAGCAAGGATGTGCAGTAGCAGGAACTCTCTTTCATTGATGGTGGGAATGCAAAGTGCACAGCCACTTTGGAAGACAGTTTGTCAGTTTCTTACAAAATTAAACATACATTCACCATACAACCCAGCGATCACTCTCCTTGGTATTTACCCAAAGGAGTAGTAAATGTTATGTCCACACAAAAACCTACACACAGATTATCATTATAGCAGTGTTACTCATACTGGCAAAAATTGGAAGCAACCAAGATGTCCTTCCATAAGTGAATAGATAAGTATACTGTGGTACATCCAGACAATGGACTAGTTCGAGAATTGAAAAGAAATGAACTGTCAAGCCATGAAAGACATGGAGGAACTTAAATGCATATTACTAAGTGAAAGAAGCCAATCTGAAAAGGCTGCATACCATTCCAGCTGTATAACATTCTAGATAGGTCAAAACTATGGAAATAATAAAAAGATCAGTTGTTGTCGGTAGAGGGAAGGGGGAGAGATGAATAGAGAGAGCATAGAGAATTTTTAGGGCATTGAAACTACATTTGACTCTTGAACAATGCAGGTTTGAACTGCATGAGTTCATTTATGTGTGAATTTATTTCAATAAATACTACAGTACCACATGATCTGCAGTTGGTTAAATCTGGATGCAGAACCACGGCTATGGAGTGCCGCCTGTGGGACTGGTGCATCCATGGGTTCTGGTATCCATGGCAGGTTCTAGAACTAGTCCTCCACGTTGTTCACGGGTCAGCTGTACTCTCTATGATGCTGTAATGATGGATACATATCATTACAAGTTTGTTCAAACCCATAGCGTGTACAACACTAAGAGTGAATCCTAATGTAAACTCTGGACTCTGGGTGATAATGATGTGTCAGCGTAGGTTCATCAGTTGTAACAACTGTTCCATCTGGTGGGAGATGTTGATAATGGGGGTTGTGAGTGTATGAGGTCAGGGGATATATGGGAAATCTCTACCTTCTGTTTAATTTTGCTTTGAACCTAAAACTGCTCTAAAAAAATTTAAGTATTGAGGGAGAAAAGAAAAAACAAAAACATGGCCAAGGTGGTCCATGACATATTCACAATGAATACAGCAAAATATATACCATTTGTATTGAAAAAATAATTTCACTTCAAGTTTTTGCACATGATTTTGTTTATACTAAAATTTTTGGTTTCGTAGTTGAACTGTAAAGTCTATAAGCATAAGAAATTTTTATCCAGTTTCATGTTTGTATATGTTTAGATAATATAAAAACTACTCTGTCAGTCCTAGGGATTCATATTATTACTCATATTTTAAAAACACTGTTCAGATTGATCTAATAGAAAGAGTAGAAATGATTTTATTACTAATGTAAAACCAGAATAGCAAATCTTTTCTTGAGCTATTTCCACATTTCCTTAATTTTTCCCTACCTCCCAATTTAAAATTTGTTTATTAATGTATTTTGGAAACAAAGCAATGCAGAAATTAGCACATCTTTTAAAAGTACGTAAATGTTCTAACCTTAGACTAGGGGTGAGGCAGGATGTAGCTCAAGTGGTAGAGCGCATGTTTAGCATGCATGCGGTCCTGGTTCAATCCCCAGTACCTTCTCTAAAAACAAGTAAGTAAACTTAATTACCCCCTACCCCAAAAAAGAACATTAAAAAAAGAAGAAGAAGAACTAGAATTTGGAGGTTTTGATCTGGCAGTAGAAACAGCCCAAGAACTACTTTAGCGTGTTAGAGTCTTACTGCTAAGCAACATCTGCCTCCTCGGTCCTGATACTCTGAGGTTAATGACTGCAAGCTTACGTTTGGCCCTTCTTTACATGCCAACATCACAGCATTATAATGTGCTAATTTATATATGAAATCAAGAGGGGGAAAAGCTGTCAACATCACAGAAAAGTCTCTCATGAACACATATAAAGTTAGCTCCAGCGGAGTCAAAACAGAAGCTCTTGTCTTTGAAGGGGCAGTTGGATTACTGACTGGCCACGTGCTTTCTTTCAGTGAACACACAATCAAAAATATTTGACAGTACCACCAAGGTAACAAAAAAAAAGTGCTAGATCTAGGCTATGCTAAAAGTAAGACTTTGTAAGCAAGAATTTCTGTAAGAATGCAGAGAAAAGTAATGTAGCTAATAGTTGTGGGTTAATATCTCTGTCTCAGCTCAGCATTGTCACTGACATATTTCATAAATTTATGTGTTCATATTTTTCTCCTAAACCAGTTACTGTTCCTGATAAAGCTATACTTACATGTATATATGACTAGATATGACAAC